TCCCTCTGTCTCTGGGTCTCTGTATCCCTCTGTCTCTGGGTCTCTGTCTCTCTCTGGGTCTCTCTCTCTGGGTCTCTGTCTCCCTCTGTCTCTGGGTCTCTGTCTCTCTCTGTCTCTGGGTCTCTGTCTATCTCTGGGTCTCTGTCTCCCTCTGTCTCTGGGTCTCTGTCTCTCTCTGGGTCTCTGTCTCTCTCTGGGTCTCTGTCTCTCTCTGGGTCTCTGTCTCTCTCTGGGTCTCTCTCTCTGGGTCTCTGTCTCTCTCTGTCTCTGGGTCTCTGTCTCTCTCTGTCTCTGGGTCTCTGTCTATCTCTGGGTCTCTGTCTCCCTCTATCTCTGGGTCTCTGTCTCCCTCTGTCTCTGGGTCTCTGTCTCCCTCTGTCTCTGGGTCTCTGTCGTCTCTCTCTCTCTCTCTCTCTCTGGGTCTCTGTCTCCCTCTATCTCTGGGTCTCTGTCTCCCTCTGTCTCTGGGTCTCTGTCTCCCTCTGTCTCTGGGTCTCTGTGTCCCTCTGTCTCCGGGTCTCTGTCTCTCTCTCTCTCTCTGAACCTCCCGTCTCCCAGGACATGCCTGCTTCCCTTGGAACCTGCAGTGGGGTGTGTAACCTGCTTGGTTGAGCCCCCATGGCCCCTGGCCTGAAGTCTGAGACCCCCCTGGGGGTTTTGAAACCTGAAGTCCATGCCTGGTGGCCCCAGCAGCTGCCCCACCCTGCTTGTGTCCCTCCCACCACGGCAGGACTGGGTGTGCTGGAGGGCTGTGCACTGCACCTGGTTGGAGTCAACCCTGGGGCCGTGCAGGCCACACCCTGACACCCGGCCTGTAGGCGGCAGCGGGTCTCGGGGTCTCAGGCTCCGTGGCCTGTATTCCTAGTTGGAGGCTGTGGCTGTTTCTCTGTAGCCATCTTTCCATGGGCAGGTGTGGCTGCTGGGGTGCATGTGGGCAGGGGCGGGAAGCCACAGGCCCCTCGGCTCTGGGAACCCTCTTGTCTGCACACCGGGCTCAACCTAAATGTTGGCGGGGGCTGCCTCGCGTGCGGGGGAGTGAGGATGCACATTGGCAGCTCACAGGTCTCTCTGGGGACACAGTACTCTGGGGTCTTATCTCCCTGAGAACCAATAACGGGGCAAATTCAGGGCTTATTCTCAGCAAACAGGATGGCGCGGGGTGCAGCGCCTGAATCCGGCCAGGCTGACCTGTCTGCCGCTTCCCTCCTGCACAGAAACCAGGCGATGCGGAAGAAGCTAATCTTGTACTTCAAGAGGAGGAATCACGCTCGGAAACAATGGGTAAGTCCACACCGTGGCCCCCATCAGGTTTCCTTGAGATCCGGGGAGAATCGAGCGCACAGGGGGCCGCACCTGCGGGGCCCTCTCGGTGCCACAGCTGTCTCCTCCCTGAGCATCCAGGCTGCAGAGGAAAAGCCAAGGCCGGCCAGGAAAGGAGGAAAGACAATAGCTGCTTCCAGAAGGCCTCAGGGTGGGTGGGGGTGGGAGGCCCTATGACCCCTCTTCCAGCCTGGGAGGGAAGAAAGCAAAATGTTGGCCTGGAAAATTAGTTGCTAAACCCTGGTCATGGGGCCTGTCCTGGGCTTTTCAGGCAGAAAGAGAGGTTTTGGAGAGAGGTGGAGGATCAGGGTGGGCTGTGTGCCAGGCAGCACGGGCCGCAGGGCGCACCTTTACAAATGAGCCTTTCCTGGCACACCGGGCCCAGGTCCAGGCTCAGAGAAACTGAGACAGTGGACAAGCATTGAGCCCCCTTTCCCTGAGCCTGCGTTTGTGGCCAGTGGCCTCATTCAAACAGAAAAGGGTGCTGATTCCTGCTTCTCACTGTAGGCCGTGCATCTCAGCCCACGGCAGGGAGGCTGGGTGTGCCAGAGGCACGTGGTGGTGGTTTAGGGCGGCTGTGGACATCACCCATTCCCCAGAGGAGATCAAGGTCGACTATTCTCCCAGTTGTCAGGGAAAGAAGCGTGGACTCAGATGGGCTTCAACAGGAAAGGAATGGGTGTAGCTGGAAACGTCTGTTGGGGGTGGATGGCAGGAATAGTCTTTCAACTCAAGTCTTGTTTTCATTCCATTTCACTTCACTTCACTTCACTTCATTTATTTGTTTTTGAGATTGAGTCTCACTCTGTCGCCCAGGCTGGAGTGCAGTATCAGGATCTCTACTCACTGCAGCCTCTGCCTCTTGGGTTCAAGCAATTCTCCTGCCTCAGCCTCCCAAGTAGCTGGGATTACAGGTGCCCACCACCATGCCCGGCTCATTTTTGTATTTTTAGTAGAGAGGGTTTCACTGTGTTGGCCAGGCTGGTCTTGAACTCCTGACCTCAGGTGATGCACCCGCCTCAGCCTCCCAAAGTGCTAGGATTACAGGCGTGAGCCACCACACCTGACCCCTTCATTTCTATGCAGTTTTTTCAACACTGTGTGTTAGAACATTGACAAACTGGACCTGAATTCCCATAGCAGCTGGGAGCCAGAGAGAGCTGTCCTTTCTCTGACGGTCTCACAGATGCTCTGATTAGACCAGGAGAGGACCGGGGTCCTGTGAACCAGTGGCTGATGCCGGGGAGATGGAGTGAGGCCGCCTGGTTTTGGCTCATGGGACCTTCTGTAGAGTTGAGGATGATGTCGTTGAGTCCACCCAAGCCACGGGGCTGCTGGGACACGGGGAATGGGATAAGGCTGGGGAGACCCTGAGAAGGTCCCCACCTGGGGAAGAGGCGGCCTGGATGGGGACTACTGCCTTGGGATTCTTGGATAGGAGAAGCGACAAGGGCTGGGAACTAGCCTTGCTGGAGGGTGGAGGGGCTCCCCTTGTACCTGCAGCCCCCTGCCCCACCTCCGCCCTCCCTCCGCTGTGTCGGGGTGGGGCCTGTGAGGCAACTCCCTGTGTCCTTTCTGGGGTGAGATCTGCTGGGCACCAGCCTCCAGAGAGGCCCTCCAGGGCACAGCAGTGGCTCTGTCATGCCTGGTGCCTGTAGGTCTATGGTACACAGTAGGTGATGACTAAATACTGCTTGAGCCGAAATGGGCTGGGACAGAACAGTGCGTGGGACACCGAGGGTGTTAGTTGATCCAATGCCTTCGGGGCCTGGGTGCCAGCAGTCACGGAGTACCTACTGTGTGCGAGGCTCGCAGTTGGTGTGACACAGGCCCTGTCCTCAGACCTGCAGGGTGCAGGGACAGATCGTGCGTAAGGACGAGGAGGATGCCCACACACCCTGCCCTTCCGGTGCCTGTTGTGTTCCGGGCACTCTTCTGAGTGCTCTCCATACATTAGGGCATTTAGTCCTGTGAGGTGGGAGCTTGGTCAGCCACATGTTTCAGATGAAGAAATCGAGGCACAGAGAGGTTAAGTAACTTGCCCTAGGTCACACAGCTGGGAAGTGGTGGAGCTGAGATTTGAATCCAGACTACCTGGTTCCTGAGCCCATGCTCTGAACCCCCAAGGGGCAGTTCCAAGAGAGCCCAGGAGGGTGTGTGGGGTGTGGTGGTGTGGTGAGTGGCTACACGGCAGAACTGAGCAGTGCCTGGGGAGGGGGACCCCAGGCAGGCATGGCGTCCTGGGCAGGTGTGTGGGCACGTGGGGCCAGGTGAGGGGCTTAGCCGGGGCAGGAGGTCCTGGCACCTGGCTCCGGAAGGAGGGGCTGTGCTGTATGGGAGGAGAGTCTTCCCTTGGCCCTGCCTGCCCTGGCCCCGAACTTGTCTGGGCACTAGATGGAGGAGACACTTCCAGCCAGATGCTGGTGCCTGGGAAGCTGTGGGCAGCCCTCGGGACCCAAGGCCTGCTCATAGATGAGGAGAGGTGGGCTGCCCAGCAGTGCCTTGCCCAGCTTCCTCAGACCCCCCACCTTGACTGGATGGTACCCACGGGCACTTGGGCTGGTACAAGAGACTCTTGAAACGAGCATCCAATCTGTTTATCAAGTTAAGAGATATCCACGCAGGGCTGCCGGGTGCCCAGGAGACACAGGCCAGGAAACAGCTCAGTAATGCGGGGAGAAGAGCTGGGCAGAGGGGTAGGCTCTCGAGATGGGCTGGGGACCTCAGTGCTGAGGTGGGAGTGACCAGAAAGGACTGGCTTTGTGCAGATCTGAGAGTCAGGGTGTCAGGCAGAGGGCATAGCAGGTGCAGAGAGACCCTGAGGCAGGAACCAGCTTGGGGCAGAACCTGGCAGGCCAGCGGCAGGAGCCAGATCACCTGGAAACCTCTGCCCTCAAGCTAGGATGGAACATTCAGGTTTTATTCCGAATGCAGTGGGACACCGAGTCTTAATACATGTATTTGTAGTAAAGAATCCAAAGTCCTTATTCTAAGAAATTTGACAGAAGAGTACAAGGAACGTCTATATACCCACCACTTAGAATCAGCCACGGTTACCATTGCCTTATATTTGCTCTGTGTGTATAATACAAATATAAACGTGTTTGTTGTTGCACTCTTGGAAAATAGGCACGGAGGTGCGGAGCTTCAGCCCTAATAAATACTCCCCCTTTGTCTCCTGTGAGGAAGGAAATCCTCTCATTTCCACCTAAAACGACTGCCAGTTCAGCGCTATCTTGCCACCTCCTTGACAGCGCCCCCCCCAACCCACCGTGGTTCCCCCCTTGGGGTGAAGGCTCTTCTAGGGAGGGCAGCAGAGGATCTGATTTCCATTTAAAAGGATTGCTGCAGCTGCTGGAAGGAGCTCAGGCTGGAGGTGGAATTGGGGCGGGCTTGAGTTCTTTAAAGATCGCCAGAGGCTCCTTGGGGGGTCTGTGGAGGGGGTGGAGGGAGAAATCGGCTTAATTTAAAGCTAGAGAAGAGTCAGACAGAAACCAGGGACTTCCAAGAAGGGTCCAGGGTGGCTTCGCGGCCCATCTTGGGACGGACGGAAACAAATTCAACACCCCCTGAAGCTGCAGTGGCGATTGGGATGGTCTCTTTCTTGTGGTATAAGAAGCCGAAGTCCCTGACTTCACTGATTTCAGTAAGGCCTGGGAAGGGGGGCATGGCCAAGAACTCCGATGTGCCTGCCTCACCCCCAATGGGGAGCCAGACCCCCCTCAGACCCAGGGACCCCCACACCTTAGCAGGTTCCTGGCACCCACCTCTTCCCAGAGAGCAGGGCCTTGTCCCTGTCACAGGATGCTTAGCACCAGCACGGCCCCCCAGGCCTG